CTACTCCTACCACTACCACTACCACCACCACAACCACTGCCACAGCCACTACCACTACCACTACCACTACCACCACCACCACGACGACTACTACTACCACTACTACTACTACTACTACTACTGCTACTACTACTACTACTACTACTACTACTACCTCTATTACTGCTACTACTGCTACTACTAGTACTAATACTAGTACTAGTACTAGCACTAGTAGTGCTGTCTGCCCGCCGGCAGGTACTGAAGCGCCTGGCTCTTCGATTCTCTGGTCATCTGGTCTTCGTGACGCTGAACAACACGCGGGATGGGCTTTTTGCAAGCACTCGCCATCATGACAGGAAACATTGCCAAGAGGAGCAGCAACACAAATAACAACAATAATACCACCAACAACAATGGCAGCAATAACAACAGCAGCAGCAACAACACCAACACCAATACCAACACCAGAAGCAACAGCAACAGCAACAACTCCAACACCAATACCAACACCAGAAGCAAAAGCAACAGCACCAGCACCAGCACCAGCACCAGCAGTAGCAGCAGCATGCAGTAGCAGCATCAGCGACGGCAACAACAACAGCAACAGCAACGACACCAGCAGAAACAGCAGCCGCTGCTGCTACCATGTTGTCAGAGTTGTTGCCGCCATGCTGTGCGTGTGCGCAAACATAAGTACAAATGACCGTATCCTTATATGCACTGAAAGCTCGAGTATGAAGCAAGAGCACCAGCACAACAGGCAGATTCCAGGATGTGCTGCACAGTACACTTCCCCTCCCCCGGCCATCCCCCAGGTGGTGAAAGCCGTAACCCTCTTAGCACTACTCCTTATGGGCCCTTTTGGTGTTAAAACCCCGCCTCCGTGTTGCGATAGTTCCACGTTGCTGGCCCAACCACATGCCTCGCCTGGATTGTCCGAGTCTGAGCGCCGCAAGCCCTCTTGGCAGCAGTGGTAGTAGGATCGTAGGACAACGCTCAGAGCACCAAAGCCCTGGCCCCACCAAGTCCCGATCCGAGGCAGAGGAGACCGAGCCCCCAAACTGAAAAAAACCCTCCAGCCCAGGTGGGTGGCAACCATAGAGTCGAAAGGACATACTGTGAACAAGACCATGTTTTTTCCACCCATTGCCCATAAGTTAGGTTACCATAGACACAGCATCGTGGTCTTGTGCTTCCCCAACTTCCTGAAGTTTGAGTCCTGAACCCGACACCTTCACCCTAAACCTGAAGCCTGATTGAGTAGCGACATCCGTGCCTGCCCAGTTCCATTGCGCGAGTCGCAAGCTGAAACCCACAAACTCAATCAGCCCTTCCTCAGTGACCCCTAAGCTGGGCCTCTGTGTAACACCCCTAAACCCTAAACCCCAAAACCCTAAACCCTAAAACCTAAAACCCTAAACCCCAACACCCCAAAACCCTAACCCGTCGAAGTCCCAGGTTTCTCATGCGACCCTTTGGTTTGGACCCACGGCGCGTGCCGGCCTTTGGCATTGCTGCGGCCGAGGTGAGCGCTTGTAGCAGCCTTAAGCGAGAATCAACATGATTGTTTCAGTTAGCGGTGTGCTAGAAGATCTAATCGTAGTAGTAGCAGTAGTAGTAGCAGTAGCAGTAGGAGTAGTAGTAGTAGTAGTAGTAGTAGTAGCAGCAGTAGTAGTAGTAGCAGCTGTAATACCGGCAACAGCAAAGTTATGCAACATTAAGAACATCAGGTGCTCATGGTTCAGAGTTTCTGTGTTTTCCCGTTATGTTGTATGCCTTTTCTGGGTGTGCATCTTTGCATCTGTTTCGTGGGTTGCTGATGTGCCTGGTTTCTTGCATCATGATTGGTTCTTGGGGTCATTTGAGCTCTAAACCCTATGGCCAGAAAAGCTGCAACCCTTAGCCACCCCGTGCTCACTTGGGGGTCAAGGAGGCCAGCTTGTAGGGCAGGTGTTTTTTTTCATGTTCACCCAACTGCAAAGAGCAGGTCTGACACTATAATCATATCACTACATTCCGGAACCCTCTGGAACAATGTCTTGGCAATTATATTGGTAGTTCTTCAACTATCAAGTAATGTCAGCAAAGCTACCCACAGCAAGTCGTTGTTGACAGAGACTGCTGGCATTGTCGCAAGCAGAAGGCCCCTGATGCTGCCCGGTACGCGCTGGATGAAGCGACGCTTGGGACGCAAAGTTTGGAGGAGGGGCTTGGATTCATTTTTTTCACAAGCTTCGGATATTTAGCGCCTCGGCCGCGACGATGATTGTCATGAATGTCGCCGCCAGGTCGGCCAGAAATACACAGCCACCCTGATCGGGGAAGATTTTTTCAGGAGTGGCGTTCGAGAGATCGCTCAGTTGAGAACCTTACGCCGAGATTTGGGCTTCCTTCATAGTACCCGTGAGTTCCCAGAGGCCACGAACCTGGGGATGGAGATGGAGAGAGCCGTGGAATCGAAAAACCGGAGCTTTTGCACTTTCACTGCAGGTTCCGGAGCTGGGATGAGCTGACCGGTTTCTGGCTGGACACGAGTCGGGCCTTTGACCGCATCGATTCTTGGATGAAGTGACGGTTGTTGGCCCTGAACCAGTCTGGGTGGGTCCGCTTGACCTTGCAAGGGTTTACACTTGCAAAAGTCTTCCTTCCGCCGGCCACAACATGCCGGAGCGATCGCTTCAGGGTGTGAGGGGCTGGTTGCCTGCCGCAAATCCCTTGCTTCCGCAACTCAAAGCCATCGCGAATTCCAAGCGGCCTGTGCATGGAAGAAAAAGCCCCAGGCGAGAAGCTGTGTAGGCAACCGTCCAGTCTGTGGGTCGAGGAATCAGTATCCATCATCCATTACTTTCAATGCAAAAGGGCTTTGGATTGAACAACGATCATTTTTATCAAGCTTACTGAAGTCTTTTAGTGAAGTTGCATTGGTAGTCCCCCTCATAGTAATACGACAATATATCCCTAATCCCACTCTGATCACTCGGGCTGCCATCATATTGAGAGCAGGGCTCCCTGATCTCTTCCCTGCTCTCTCTCTGCACGAAGATCAGGAGCGCTTTTGCGCCTCCTTCCTGGAGGCAGGTGGCCCTAATCCCCCAGGCACCTACTATATAGGGCCCTATGTGGGGGCTAGTACCCTATATAGTAGGTACCTGGGAGGTTAGGGTGGGCTGCAGAAGAGGATCTTGTTTCTTCAGGCTTGTGCCTGCTTTATTTAGGAAGGGGGCGGCTCACTCAACGCGGACTTTGCGTTTCAACTGTTGAGCCCTGGCTGAGATCATGCCCCGACCAGAGATAGAGGTATCATGTTGTTTATCCTGTTCGTGTGAGCCTGCTAGCTGCCAGCGGAGTCGAAGGCCAGAAGACAGTTGATTTTTTCGCATCTCGGAGGGGCGTTGACGCATAGAATCTCACTGGCCGCCGCAATCCGTAAGAGGCCCTAAATCTGTCAACTTCGAATCCACTTCATAGGATGTTCAGGTCTTGTCCGATCTCCACGGTCACAGGGCTGTTTTAGGTATGTGAAAAAGTGCCTTACTACAGAAAGGCTTTCGTTGCCGAGCCTTCAGACAGCTGACTCGGTGAGGTTCTGTCACATCAGGGGGGTGTTTTGGCAGGTGTGAAAGCATTACTGTCGTGAACTTTCCTAGAAGTCAAGCGGCTGTCGTACGGTCCCCGTCTAAGATTTCAAGGCCCCCACGGCCACAACTTCAACGGCCATATTCGAGACCTGTGAACTCCACACGCCATGAACTTTTCTGGCCGAACACCGCCGCCAAAGCCGTAAACTGCGCAAGACAAGCCAATTCCTGAACCCTATAGATAGACGTCAAACTCGTAGCCCTAAACCCGTAAGCTGCGCAAGGATGACACGCCGAAAGCCCCAAAAGCCTGCGAAGCCCTAAGTCCCAACAGCCGTATTAGCCTCAAACCCTAAAGGCCCAACCCGAAAGCGCCAATCACAGAGTTCAGCATATGATGCCCTCTCCCCCCTCCCCCCGGTTCAGGGTTTAGGGTTTAGGGGACTTCAGAGAGACCTCGTTCAAAAAGGGGTTTAGGGGAATCTAAACCGTAAAACCCTAAAACCCTAAACCCTAAACCCCCGAATCCGGACTGCCCTGCAATGCGGGCTCGTCCTTGCCAAGTAGGCAAAAAAAATTCCGGACTGCCAGGGCACTCTGGAAGCTTCTCACGAGTCGGCAGAGCTGCCTCCGACGTATCGCTGGCCGGGGCCTGGTTCTGTTCACGAGGCCCCTGGGTTTTTAGAGCCCTGTCTTAGGCTTTAGGGGTGAGGGGATTGCAGAAGCCCTGATGCAAAAAGGGTGTAGGGGTTTAGGGTTTAGGGTTTGGGGGTTGTCGCATTGGGTCTCGGGTTTAGGGTTTAGGTAGGACTGCAGCTTCAGAGTACCGGGACAGTCTTGTCTGAAACTGACGGGCACCTGTAGAGGTTATTTAGCCTGCTACATGACGTTTCATAAAGGGGTCTGAACTTTTCGCCTCCAATATCAGTACAGTATAATATACCCAGAACTGCATTCGAATCGTTAAAGTGCACATGGGTTGTTTTCTAATTCCTCTGGAGCCTGCGCGTAGCTGGTTGGAAGACGTGCGAACCAAGGACGGCGGTCGGATGGCGACCATGCTGTGGATATTATGAAACTAATATCAAAACAACTGCAAGGTACATAGCATGTTGCACTGTATGCTGTGTAGAAGATATAGTCTTGTAAATCATTCAAGCGCTTTTCGTCGTCCGCCTTGGCCCCGGCCCGGCTGTACTTGAAGCACATGCAGGTAGGTAGGTCACAGAGGTGAGGTCTTGCGTGAAGGAGTGCATTTGCTCCAGAATCTGTTTTCTAAAGGTCAGTAGTTGTTGTCATGCTGAGGCTCTGAGAAAGAATCCCGCGCGAAAGGTGGCACATTCCATGCATGATCCTGCAGACGTTACTCTAAAAATCGCATTGCACTTCTCACTACAACCTCCCATCGGTTGAAGGGGAAGGGGCCGAAGCGAATTTTGCAAGAACGTCGTGGCAGGGTGGAGGGAGAGTTCAAGGGCTGATTTCCCTCAGGTGGTGTGGAAGACCTTCCGAGAGTCCGTCTACCGAACGGACAAGGATGTTCTCCTGGAGCTCTACTCGCCTTATCGGCCGCAGCACCGGACGCACTTGATGGCGACTTGGCTCGAAGGGCTTACGGCCTCGAGTTTAGGGCGTGTAGGGCTGGCAGGGCGTATAGGAAAGGGCCCATAAGTGTTTTCACGGAACCCATCAAGTTCCGGTGTGGGGAAAACTTCTCACGTGCTGCTTCTGATTCTTGTCATGTGAGTAATAAGTATTCGTACAAGTGTGGCGTTCCTACACAGTGAGAGGTAGGACCGGTAGCCGAAACATTCGACGGCATCCAACTAGACCCGGTTTTCAAGTCTCCAGCCCCTGCAACCTCACCAAAACCCCTGAAGCGCTAAACACCCCGAAACCACAAGCCACTTAAGGACACAACAATTTTAGCCCTCAATGCCTTTGAGTCCGGGGTACACCTGACCTCTGTAAACCTGCATCAACCCGGAACCCTTAGAGCCTGCCACCCGAAACTACAAAAAGGCAACCGCAAATCATTGAAGCCCCGAGACCCCCATCCATGTTTGAGATCCCAGATCTTAAAACCCTGAGTGACCTACCTTTTCAGGGTTCCTGATTATGATTTCCTTCTTCAGCTCCTTACAATGTACCTTAGCCTACCAAAACCTACTTTTTTAAGATAGACTCTATAATAAAGTTTGCCTGGGCTGTCCATGTTGTGAGCGCCGAAACCCAGGTCCTCGAGCTCGTGGCGGAAGCCTTGGGAAACCTTAGCACTCTGAAGGCCGGGTGGTCCTCGTAGTAGTAGTGGTAGTAGTAGTGGTAGTAGTAGTAGTAGTAGTAGTAGTAGTAGTAGTAGTTGTGGTAGCAGTGGTAGTGGTGGTGGTAGTGGTGCTAGTAGCAGTAGTAGCAGTAGTAGTAGTAGTAGTAGTAGTAGTAGTAGCAGCAGAAGCAGCAGTTAACTGTAGTAGGAGGGAAGTTCAAAGCTGGGACCCGCTAGAGTTTAACAGGTGTCCAGTCGGTTTTGGTCTTTCAGTGCTTACGATGCACGACCCTTCAATTTCAGCAGAAGTTTGTGTTGCCTGAACCATGATCTTCCGTGTGGAAGGAGTGAGCCGGTGTACGTAGAAGCATGCCTGAACGCAGCAGCTGTTTCTCGACTGCGAGAGCGCTTTGGGGCCCTTTTGGGGTAAAAGCTTGGGGAGATCGGCGCAAGTGTTACATGACTATGAGGATTCAGATTTGACGGCGTTTTAGGGATCAGGGCCATGGCTGTGCCAGAAAGCCACGGTTTAGGGTTTAGGGTTCAGGGTTTAGGGTTTAGGGTACCATGTATTCACCCTGTATGTAACATGAAAATATCTAAAAATGCCCTTAAACCGACAGATGATGCGAGAGAGGTGGCCCGAATGGACACCGCCAACAACTACGTCCTCCCGGAGTTCGCCTTAAAGGTGCCCTCAGGGGCTTTGTAGGATTAGTCGGTTTAGGGTTTAGGGTTTAGGGTTTAGGGCTTTGTAGGATTAGTCGGTTTAGGGTTTAGGGTTTAGGGCTTTGTAGGATTAGTGTGGTCGTTTATGTGTTTATTTTATAAGGCCTTCATATAGGTATCTACAGGGTCTCAGATGGTTTCCTAATGGTTGCGTAAGGCTTCAAATGACGGTTTATGGCTTCGTCTTTTCAAGGGTTTTAGACATCGGGTTTTGACATTTGAGTCCGTTTCATACGGATCCTGCGTATTGTTGATTTGGGCCTGTACGGTGGCCTATACTGTATATTCGGAGTCTTTATGATGCTACAAGTATCTTACTGTTTTTCATGGTTCACATACTGGGGCCCCCTTATGTTCCGAATCTTGCCCATTGTTTTTAGCCAGCGCCTCCATCAACTAAAAGCTGCACGGTTTTCTCGAGGTTTCAGGGTTTTGGGGCAGAAGGAAATCACCTTCGGATACACCAAACAGGTATAAAGAGTGGCCGAAGTACTAGATGCTAGGATACCTGTCGAAGCTGCTGCCGTGGCCACGGATACAACCGCTTCTACGTGGTATTGCAAGTACTACATTTAGGACTACCTTTTGTGGGAACTGGTCACGAAGATCATGGCCCAGACTTGTGGCATTTGTCAGTTGTTGAGTGGCATGTCCCAGTAGCAAGCTCGGACACTGTATGCCATGCCAGCCTTGTGTAAGTCGAAACCATGAAAGCCCTAAGCCCTAAGAAGTCTAAGCCCCAAAGACCAGAAATCCTAAACCCTAAAAATCGACAAAATCCTAAACCCTAAAAAACCGGAAAATCCTAAACCGAGAGGACAAGGAGAAGGCCTCCAGCTTTTACTTCGTCGCTGCAGCTCCGGAGAAGCACCGTCGGCCCAGGCACAGAAAGCCCAGAGCTTCCAGGGTAAGAGCTTCTAACAGGGTTTAGGGCTTATGGTTTAGGGCTTATGGTTTAGGGCTTAGGGCTTAGGGTTTAGGGTTTAGGGTTTAGGGTTTAGGGTTTAGGGTTCAGGGTTCAGGGTTTAGGGTTTAGGGTTTAGGGAAGCACTATAGGGTTTGCTTCAGGGTTCAGGGTTCCAAAACAGGTATGCTACCGTTACATGAGCTAGAAGAGGGCTTCTTTCTGTCCGAGGTATCCATCCCCTGATGCTACCAGTGAAACGACCATCTCTTCTGGCCTTTGATGAAAGTGTCTGGGAAGACCATGGCACACAGAGTGTCGTTCGGATTTTGTGTTGTGGCTCGTGTGTTTGGACACGTAGACGGTAAATGTTGACACCAGATGCAGCAATTCACCCTAACCAACCAGGTACCTACTATATAGGGCCTTAGGGGCTCTAGTACCCTATATAGTAGGTACCTGGGGGGTTAGGGTCATGCTATATTGAGTGCTGTGTTCGCAATCGGCTTTGTGCTTGCTAGAGCTTTATAACACATTTTTGCAGCATATCTGTGAAGACCCGTACGTGGATACCATGACGGCTTCGTCCTTCCTGCGAAAGTATGGGTAGGTCTAGGGTGTTGCGTATAAGTTTAACAACGCTGTCAGGTTAAAAGGGGGTAATTGTATGCTTAGGGCTGCCGGAGTTTCACCAGACCCTCGACCGTACACTGAAAGATCTAAAACGCCAAGGTCCTAAACCGCTCAACAATAAATCCTTGAACGAACTCCAGCCCAAGCCTCAGTGAGTACGCATTGCAGGACGTCCCTGCTCGCCTATGAGACACAATGAATGATAGGACCTGTGTGCGACCTTATAGAACGTATCGCAACTCTATAAGACTCCAGTAGAAGCCTTACCCTAACCAACCAGGTACCTGCTATATAGGGCCTTAGGGGCTCTAGTACCCCATATAGTAGTTACCTGGGGAGTTAGGGTTATATAGCAGCCCATATCACCCTACAAGAACCCGATGGAAGCACATGAAAGAGAAGCGAGAACCTAGACCTTCCATCTACCGTCTCTTAGACCCCAAGTACCCATTATTTGCGACCAAAATAATATAGGGGCCTAAATAAATGATTACCTATACTATTTTGGGGGGCTCCTTATTTATGAGAAGTCTAGCACAATGGGCCCCAAGCCAAAACCCTATTTTAACTAATTCAGGCCCCTACATTACCCTTATTTGAGAGTACAAGGAGGGCTCGACCCTAAACCCTGAGCCCTAAACCCTTAGGGTTTAGGGTTTAGGGTTATATACCCGAAACCCCTATAAACCCTAAACCCTCCCAGCCAACGAACTTGCGAGGCGCCTGGCCACCAAGTTGGGTCGACCTGAGGAGCCGGGCAGACACCGCCGAAGGGTTCCTACGCCCTAACCCCCAGGTACCTACTATATAGGGCCCTAGGGATTTAGGGTTTAGGGTTTAGGTCTAGTACCCTATATAGTAGGTACCTGGAGGTTAGGGTTACCCATGACAAGGAATATATGCCATAGTTCTCATAGTTTAGGGTGTTTAAGGTAATGCAGGGTTTAGATCATCCACAGTATGAAGGTCTTTTTAAGGGTTGCTTCGAAGTTTTCCATGAAAGGTTCCTAGAAGGGGGTTCATATAAGCAGTCCCTATCTCTGCTTTGATGTGCTTTCGGGTTCGAGGATTGCGGTAGTTCAGGGCTTGGGCTAGTTTAAGCTTAACGCTTATTTTGAGGATTAGCGGCTGAGCCTCTGACCTTGCCAAATCCGCTTTGGCCCCTTTTGCTTCTCCGACCAAGTGCCGATTCAGGGTATGGTGCGGAGTCGAAGGGTAGCGCCCTCAAAGCATTCCCCTAGCCCCCCAGGTATACCTACTCTATGGGGTACTGGAGCCCCTAAGGCCCTAAAAAGTTGGTACATTGAAGTTCAGCTTTGCAAATCTTCTGGGGATGGGCCAAGAACGTAATCTCTCTCCCGGCGTGGCGTGGCCTGGGCTCGGTTCCTGTCGAGGAGCTTCCGGCACAGCTTCTGCGCTTCGTGCACCGAGCCTTGCCTGCCTGGACGCAGTGACGAAGATCTCGAAACCAGGAAACCCTCTAGGTACCTACTATATAGGGCTTAGGGGCTCTAGTACCCCATATAGTAGGTACCTCGGGGGTTTGGGAAAAACCATGAAAAACTAATAAACATGGGACGTAAGGGAGGCAGGAAAGAGCAGCACCAGAGTCTCGTCGTCGCGGGAGCTCCTAGCAGATCGTGGCCTATGTTGCGATCATTGCGATGGTGCCACCTGTGATGCTAGGCGTGCGCAGGGACAATTCCGGGGTTACGCAGAGGGACGTCGACATAGAACGTTAACTGACATGCAACGCTTGCAGAAAGCATCTAGGCTAGTGGATCTCTTGTGCGCAATGTATCTTAGCACCAACAGATAGATAGATAGATAGATAGATAGATAGATAGTCCTGCCTGCATCGCACGAGTCACGCGCGCGCTAACCCCAAACCACCAGATCGCTTAGCACTAGAAGCTCAAAACCTCTGCGCAGCTTCCCTCTCAGGAGAGACTCGAAGTCAAGAGTGGGACTTTCAGGATCGCTCTGCTTGGGCGAATCAAGAGGCCACAGGGTTTTGGGGTTTGGGGGTTTACGGGTTTAGGGTTTTTAGGGTTTAGGAAGAGCTCAAATGCACAAACGGCACGTAGAAGTCTATAGCATAAGATTTGAAATCATCAGATGATGGAAGACTCTGCTGCGCAATTACGGGTTGGAATGTACTCTTTGGTTCACTTTCCTGAGCTGCCTTCGGATTGTGATCAGCGAGTGGCAACGGGAGATGCTACTCCGAGTTTGTGATACGATGCCCAAACCTAACCCCGCCGACCATGCCGACAGTGCCCTTTCTGCTGCCTTTGTTCCGTGGCGAGAAGCAGATTCAGTACAGCACATGAAGCCCTTGATATGCATAGGAGCACCCACAAAAGGCCAACCCTTAGTAGTCCCTTTACTGACTAGCCCAAGCTCTAAACTGTGAACCTAAACCGAAGCAAGCTTAAACCGCCGCTAAACAACCCGAACCCCAAACCCTCATATGGTATAGGCCTCTATGTTGACCTTGTGCCCCATTACATGAGGTCCCTTGCTACTGCAAAGCGTGAGGTCCTCGAACTACTATAGAAGCCAAAATAATTGCCTATACTATTCCTTTGGGGTTCTGATTATAAATATAGTATAATGGGCCACAGAACCTTATTCTAATTATTACGGCTCCTACATTAGGTAAGCTTCATCTGAGGACTTTGGGTTTGGAAGAGGTCTCGGTATTGATTAATGTAGGGGCCTAAATAAGTACCAATACTATTTTGGGGGTTCCTTATAATAATCATAGCATAATGGGGTCCAAAACCCCAAGGCCCCTATACTTTATGAAAACGTTTTGTTATCAGAGGCTTGGCTCGTTGTAGGTTCGCTGTCAGCAGACCTCGAACCACATGCCTCGCCCGGAGTGTCCGAGTGTGAGCGCTGAAACCCTCATTACCCCTAAACCGTAAATTCCTGAATCAACACTGGTGAGTGGACGCGTGTAGATTGGAGAAATGGCTTCCAATAGCCTCTAAGCTACACTAACCGTAGCGAACCCTAAACAGCAGGAGTTAGAGAGCTTTGGACCCAATCAGGCCCAGCGGCGTATTCGGCGTCTTCGAGCCCTGGAGAAGGATTACGAGAAGAAGATGCAGGCGGAAGAGGGTTTACTGGTTTAGGGTTTGAGTTTGCAGCTTAGGGTTATTTGGGGCTCAGCTCAGAGTTCGGGTGTTTGGGTCTGGGGTTCGGGGCTCCAGACATAACCCATAGGCCCCAAAGTAGTTCCTTTTTGGGATTACCTTATGGGATTCTATATATGAACCCCAAAAGGAACTACTTTAGGGTTCATGGGTAGGGTCACTTGTGTTGATCTCATTTTGCACGTTTCTCCCGGACTGGGGCCTGAGGAGAGATATTGCATGGACTCGCTGGCAACATGCCAAGCATCGGTCTTGCCCATGTCGGTAATCCTTTGGGGTTGAAGCTGTGCCTATCAACTTAATGTAGTAACGCCTGAAGCTGAATCGTTAGTAATACTATCACCTGACAGAAGACGGTTCTATAGAGGTTTCTTATAAGTCATATTGGAAGTTGCAACTCCTTAGGGGCCCTTTCTTTGGCGGGTTCTAGTGTAATGGACATATTCTAGATCCGGTGATACTCAAATGAAATGGCAACATTGCGGTTTAGGATCGAAGGATTGGTGGCCTTAGTTAAAAATAGAATGTAACTTGAGGTTATTTATGGTAATTTCGTTTAACGTAACAATATATTCCAGTATGTTATGTCATATTATATCATGTCACAGTACACAGTATATAGCACGCAGTATATAGTGTATAGTTTATAGTCTATAGTATACAATATATGGTACTTAGTGCCTAGTATATAGTACATAATAAGCTGGAGCTATAAACACACGAGAGGGCAAAAACCAGGTATGACCCGCCACGAACAGATTCCCCAAGCCAGAAACCAAACCGACATGGTCCGCTGGAGGGGCTTTAGGGCTTCAGGGCTTAGTTGTATTTTACAGGCTGCGGATCATACCAACAGCATTCATTAGGCCGGACGTGTTGTTGATGGTGTGCTGTTTCTGGTCCGTATCATAGGAATAAAGTGTTCAGTTGAATGCAACGACTCCCTATTGCATACAAACGTTACTGCGGCAGCCTGGATGGATTGAGCTATTCCTGGTAGTTTTTGACATGCGGCCCGGTCCAGGACGAATGGGTCCAGAAGGAGATGGAGGAGTTTGAGCGTTACAAGCGCTTAGGGAAGTTTGACAACTTGAACATTTAGTATGAGCCACCGCGAAAAAGCGACGTGCAGACGAGCCGGTTTCGGGTTGAGTTCTGTGGGTTTGTAGTAGATGCAATGTTTTCATATTGTTTGGGAGTATGCATGGTAATGCATGGTATAGATGGTGGGTCTGGCTTCAGCTTTGTCTTCATCGGCGGCAAGGCCAGTTTTTGTCGGGCGTCCGCCGAGCTTTTCATGTTTGGAAATGTGTTGTTCTCGTTCAGAGTCTCTTCATCTATAAATAAACAGATAAATAAATAAATAGATATGAATATATATATATATATATCAATACGGGGCAGATAAGCCCTCCGAGCATCCCTAGACATGCGCCTCCATACCCAATGGATTTCATGTACTGCGCTCCCAGACCCCGGGTCAAAGGGCAAAGTGGTCGGAGCCTGCACACCGAGGAGTCGCGGCCGTGGCCTCTAGTCATATGGTATTATCTCAGCCTTTGGGTAAGGTTGCTTCGTTATCCCAACTCCCAGAGAACGCAGAGTCCTTTAGAAGATCCACACTCGCAACGCAAGCCGGAACGCCAAAGATGTGGGGTTTTGCAAAGGATCCTGCCTGTTGCTGATGCACTAAATGTTACCAGAATGATTAGTACCGGCCATCATACTACTACTACTACTACTACTACTACTACTACTACTACGACTACTACTGGTATTGCTACTACTGGTACTGCTACTACTACTACTACTACTACTACTACTACTACAATAACTACTACTACTACTACTACTACTACTACTACTACTACTACTACTACTATTGGTATTGCTACTACTGGTATTGCTACTACTACTACTACTACTACTACTACTACTACTACGACTACTACGACTACTACGACTACTACGACGACTACTACTACTACTACTACTACTACTACTACTACTTTGACGACCACGACGACTCGACTACGTAGGACTACCATTTCTGCTACTTCCGTTAACTTCGACTTAAAATTACGGTTTTCAATTTCTAGCTGCTGGATGCCGTCAGAAACCTGCAAAGTTGAAGCTTGAAGGCCTTAAACTCAGGGCTTAGGTTTCAGGGTTTCAACCTAGGCCCTGCGTCAGTGTGACGCTTTAGAACGACAGCTCCGTGCGTCCTGGGCCGAAGTGGAGGCGGGAAGGGCCGGGAATGGGACACTGATGAGGATGTTGGTGGTAGCCGAAGAGTGCTGTACTAGGGAGTTTAGGGGGGTTTAGGAGTTAGGAGTTTAGGGTTTAGGGTTTAGGAGTTTAGGGTTTAGGGTTTAGGGTTTAGGAGTTTAGGGTTTAGGGTTTAGGTACCTATATAGAGTACCAGAGTCAGGGAGAGTTGCTCACTGTGCTTGGCGGGGAACGCCAACGTGGCGACCACACTAGCGTCGACTGCGGCAGCGACGACCACCTCTCGGTTGCAAAAGATCCGGAAGTAGGCCAGCCGTCCGAGCCAAGAGACATCCATCTAAGTCAACTGCCTGGTCACTGGTGAGAGTAGCGTCGGTTTGGGAAACAGCAGCAATGACAAAAGAAGTGTCAGCAGTGGCAGTAAGAATTTCAGTGGTATGAACAAACACCGGAACAGTAGCACCTGTATCGCCAGCAACAACCACCACCGGTGCACGTTGGCAAGGTTGTACAACGTCCCATGCCCCCTGCCCCCGTTCTTTCAATCGGATTTGCGCGCATGTCACTGTCACTTGTAGTACACTTGCAGCGGCACAAAGACACACCTGGATTTAAGCCCTCACCGTCAATGCTGTGCACACCCGCACCTCCATTCCACTCCATTCCCGAACCTGCTAACCTCGCCTTCATTCCTACATTTCTGCCCCGCAGTGAGCCCAGAACCTTGAAACCTGAACCCTAAGCCCGTAAGTCGTACTGTGGACTGATAGGGTTCATAGAGATGGGAATATTTCCAAGATTTTCCAAGCTAGTTCCCTGAATCCTTTAATATTCCCCCGGATACCTCGTCCAATCATTAAAGCCCCTACCTGATGCCCAGTACGGCTACTGTACGGGCCTAAACAGTTACCAATATAATTTTGAGGGTTCTGTATTACATTCATAGTATAATGGACCCCAAAACCCTATGCTAATCATTCAGGCCCCTAAACCCTAAACCCTTATAGTAGCCCTTATAGAACCCTTTAAGGAACCTTTAAAGGGAACCCCTACATTACAACTCCCCATCCTCAACCGCCCGAACTCCGAAGGGCGCAGTTCGCAGCCGGGAGGTCGAAGCCATGACTCGGCCAGGCAGACCTTTGGGCTGCATGTAGTTAGGGTTTAGGGGTTAGGGTTTAAGGGTTTACGGGTTTAGGGTTTAGTAATAGGGTTTAGGGTTTAGGAGTTCTTGTTACTTACCTATAGTCTCCATTGTAGTTCCTTTTTGGGGATACCTTATAAAGATCCTTTATATAATTGGTTAAACCAAAAAAGGAACTACAATGGAGACTATAGGTAGTTCCCCAATACCCAACCGTTAATTTTTCTGGGTTCTTATAATTTAGTAGTAATCTGAAAGTTTAACCTTTTATTTCCCTGGCTTATTGGGGAAGTAAGGTTAAGGGATTGAACTGGAAGTTACCATGATAAGTAAACCATAGGGTTTACTATGGATCCCCATTATGGTAACTTAAATTAAACTCCTGAGCAAGAACCCAGCAAGTGGTCTTGCGTAGCACAACTATAAGCTCACAAGGGTTGGGGGTATAGAGGTCAAAGCGGCCTAAGTAGCTATAGGGGAGCATGTATCGTTTCTTTATTTGGAATTACTATCAAGATTTTGGAAGGTATGGCCCATAACAATGAGCAATTTTGTGAAGGGGCTTCGTCGGTGGGCCCGCACTTTTTTTTTTTCCTACCGTTGGCGGTCCCCGGCGGCCCTTGGTAACGTTGGCGGTAAGTTAAGGATTTTAAACAATTTA